TGTCGTAAGAGTCGACTAATTGGGAGCTTCCTTCGAAGTCGGAGTGCATCTGCCTGAGAGCCAAAAACCAACAGTCAAATGAGTCAGATCTGTAAAACGGATGCACACGCAACACTCAAGTTCTAGAACAGGTTTGCAGTCCAGAAGTGGACAAACAACCAGAACTTTCCGCCGGAGTTTACAGCTGGTTAATGCGAAAAAGAATAATAATTGGCGACCCCCCCCCCCATCCTTTTTACCCCAGGCATCTCATATACAACTAATCGGGGCCCCATTGTGGGGAAAACAAGAATAGACCCACTGCCTCAACAAAAGCGTGTCGTAAGAGTCGACTAATTGGGGAGCTTCCTTTGAAGTCGGAGTGCATCTGCCGGAGAGGCTAGGAACCAACAGTCTGCATTCAAGAGAATGAGATCTGTAAAGCTGATGCACACGCAACACTCAGGTTCTGGAGTAGGACTGCAGTTCATTAGTGGACGAGCAACCAGAACTTTCCGCAAGAGAGTACAGCTGGTGAACGCGAAGGAGAACGAAGAAGACAACTAATCCCATGTTTGTGTTTTTCTAGGACTGTCTGGCAGAAAACTGGCATGAATGGTGACTTCGGTAAGATTATGGGGGGAAAAATGGAAATTCTTGGACTTAGTTCGCTGTTTTCATGAAAGCTTTGCCAGCAACATAGGATACAATAATTGTTCAATATGTTTTCCTTAAAATGTTAAGTTTTAGTATCCCGTTTTCTACTTTATCCTACACCACAGCGGTATCTTTAGTCATTGCTGCTAAGTGCACCTGAGATATCCCCTGTAGTAATAACACCAATATTTAATAATTTTGTCAGTCAGACCACTTTTACAGCTATTTTCAGTTCATCGTTCAGACAGGCAGTTTTTACAATGTGTTCCAATACTGAGGTTGTTGCAGATTGGCAAGGTTTTTACAGTGAGTTCCTGAACTGAGTTATTGCTTGCCCATACTGTCTGACATTGTCAAACCAAACTGAATATAAAAATCTTTGTACAAAATTTTCTTTATCACATACATTATTTTATTAAATCACTGAAACAGAAGGACATTAAAGAGTTGAACAAAATTTTTCAAAACACTACTACTGCCAAATTGCATGGCAAATGAATTAAATTTTTATTCTTTAAATGTGGAAAGCGCATGTGCATGAGACAAAATATAGAAAGCATGAAGATACATTCTGGTCAGAATGAGTTCTTGATCTATAATTAAATCAACACTTCATCCTGTTAATTAGATTGTTAACGCTACATTGCTCATAAAAACAAAAATACATATGGCATTTTGTTGTTGCGATTTTTGGTTGGAAGCCATATGTGATAACCGACCCTGGCTCGCAGCTTGCCCTAGCCTAAAATGTGTATCAGGAAGTTTTTCTGGGAAGTAAATATAAACTTAGCACAACATGCCCAAAGCGTCTGCCAGTAAAACTGCCTTTGTTACCACCTATTCGGTGTAAGCAAGGGGGTCATTGAGCCTGAAGATTTACAGCCGCATGTCACAATTTCTGTAACAGTACCCAGTATATGTTTTTTAAAATGACAAAGTATTTTTTCTGGAGTGTATATACTATTTTTGTTTTTGTTCTAAATGATTTGTTTGTCCATCACAAGTGATGAGAACCATTCTTTCTTTCATCCGTCATGAAACCTTAGTTGAATGTTTGTGAGTCTGGAGGTGACTTATAAGTCCAATACATGCCAGGAAGACACTAGGACACTGAGAGCAGGGCAGTGTCTGTAAACAAGGGCAAGATATAAAACCGAACGAAAAGTATATTAACAAGCTTCACAATATAACAAACACAAACAAAACGTTGCAGCTATAGAGCCTTCATCAGCACAAAGAAATCAAACAATACCACTTAGCTGGTAACTGGAAGCAGCCGGGTCGATAGTTTCTCATCAGACAAAGAGCCTGTTCTAAATATACTATCAGCTTAAACTTGACTATTTTAATTAGAGCCCCCCCCCCTCCCCCATCCCTTCCTCCCAACCTTGCCACGAGCTCCAAATACCCCAGCCCACATGTTTATATGCAGAACCAACATTCCCGCACGCCTGCACTTAACAACAACAAAATGCTAACATCTGCTTTCACTCAAGAACAAAATACCAACAGGTATTTACATTTTCTTTAAACACCCACACGTGCTTACACCAAACAAACATACACACCGTTACACTCCATTAACCAACTCGCCACTCAAGCTTACTTTTGACAGACAGCTATGAGCTGTTTTAGGAACCGACATCACAGCACTCGTGGTACTCTATAAGCACCCAGTCCCCATCTTCAGCAGACAGCAGAGTTCAAATACCAATGGTGCCAATAGCAGTCTGATTATTTGTCCATTTTGCCTCTTCTCTGAACATCGACCAGATCCCTTCTTCGCTCCTCGATGCAGCACTCTTACCAGACTCTGGTGATCCTCAGAATTGTACATGTACTGCAATAAGGCCTTGACCACATCTGCCTATGCATCAATATATCATCAAGTTGTGCAGAGCCTGTTAACAATCAACTCTGAAAGAATGAAATGTTTGAATATTTGAAGCCTCAGCTTAGCATAACATAATCATGCGAGCAGGGCTTTTTTTTTCAGGCAGTTGAGTTGAGTTAAGAATTGACATCACAGCACTCGGAGCATTCCATTGCGTGCTCCGTCCTCATCCTCAGCAGCCAGCGCAGAGTTCCAATACTAATGGCACTGGTCACAATCTGGTTAAAAGTCTGTCTTGCCTTTCCTCTGAGTGTAGTGAGCCGGCCAGACCCTATGGTTACACCCAGGTGCCTCATTTCAGCGATACGTAACATCCACACCTTTCCTAGGCAATTTGTTCCAGCAATGATGGAACAGACACTTTGCGGTGAGTACCAGTACTTTTTTGTTTAAAAACAAAAACACTATGTGGTGAAAAACGGCATCATTATTCCTATTTTTTTAAAAAGCTCAGCTTGTTAACTTTTTTGAGTCCCAGGGGGTTTAGCATCACAGGCCCAACTGGTAGTAAAAAGAGACTAAAATCAATACATCATGCATTCACTGGGCTTCTAGGTAAGAACCTATGAACGTATGATGCGTTCCCTGGGACTCAAAGAGTTAAGTGTGTGTGTGGTGCAGCTCTGAAGCTTGATGGCTAGCATAACTGTTTCATGGTGCATTCTTTCATGTCTACCAAGGTTCCCTTTCTGCAGGGAACCAGTGCGAATAAAAACCATTCTTGTGGATTTAAGACAGTGGTATGAGAGTTGCTGCACTGTGGAAGAGACTGGGGCATGATTACATATTCCCATTGCAGCCAACCTCACCGTGGAGTCAGAACATTACATGACATGTGTATGTAAGAATGTGTGCATGTGTATGCCCGTCTGATAAACAACAGCATAAGAATTCACGTATGAGGGGGCTTCAAGTGGAAACCTTAACTCTTTGAGTCCCAGGGGATTTAGTATCACAGGCCCAGAGGGTATAGTAAGGAGAGTCATAAAATTGACGCATCATGCGTTCATTGGGCTTCTAGGTAGGAACCTATGAACGTACAATGCGTTCCTTGGGACTCAAAGAAGAGTGTGATAGAAATTACAATAGCTGTGTCGTTTGCCTAATAGCTGTCAATATTTTTGCTTTTTTTGTACAGTTCACATTAAACTCCTGCAGATAGTTCTGGCTGTTCATCCACTTCTGGATTTTAGTTTTGCTCTGGAAATTGAGAATAGCATGTGCATCCGTTTTACAGATCTGGCTCATTTGTATGCAGGCTGTCGGCTCCTTGCCTTTCACACAGATGCATCCTGACTTTGAAGGAAACCCTAGTTAGCCAACTCTTATGACATGCTTGTTAGGGTGGCCGTGGATCTATTCTTGTTTTCCCACAATGGGGCCCCAGAACCCAAAAGTGGAAACGTTAAGGATGTCAAGGGTGTTGAGCAAGTGACATCACAGGACAGATGGATACAATGACATCATCATGACAGTTTAAAGATGGCCACCCATTTTTTTATAGGCACTAAAGAGGAGCAGCATTCTTTGATCTATATTGTTTGTGATCAGTGAATTGGTGAAACCTACAGAAGTTGGTTCTTTATTTATATCCTACCCCAGATGATGTCACAGGACAGTCCAACATTTTAGAGGCTTTCTGATGCTTTTAACAACCCCAAAACATCTATAACTAGCCCTAACTCCAAACCACTTACGTCACACAACTGCATGCAGCCTATCCACCATCCCTGAAATATTAGACTGTTATGTGACCTGTGGATTTGCCCTGTTTGGGGTAGGATATTAATTAAGCACCCAGAAGTTTATTGGCGAATGGTCTATTATGGTGATGAATGCCTGTCAGTCCAGCAGGTGTGTAAGAAAAGTAGAGAGTTTGGTGCTTTATTAATATCCTACCCCAGATGACGTCACAGGACAGTCCAACATTTTAGAGGGTGGTAAGACTGGGTTTCCTAGCTTTCTGATGCTTTACAAAAACCCCAAAAAATCAAAAACTGGCCCTAATCCCAACCAACCTATGTCCCACGAAAAAGTGCAGCCTAGGTCCCACAACTGCATGCAGCCTAGGTCCCACGACTGCATGCAGCGTATCTACCACCCGCTGAAATATTAAACCAGTGGATTTTTAGTGTTTGGGATAGGATATTAATAAAGCACCGGAGTTTCAAAATAGCGTGACTTCTGTGATAGGCTATTCATGACTGGGGAAGGTCATCTTTAAGCTGCCATTATAATATCAAAGTATTTTCCTGCACCGCATGCCACATGCTTAACACTCTTGACATCCCTAACAACAATACTAACAGATTGCAAGATAATGGTATTGTTACTGTAATATCTATCACATTTTGAAGATTTTAATTTGAAGCTGTCTCGTACTTGTTAAAGGATGGAAAGAAGACAAGAAGGAAGGTTATAAAGCCATGTCTGAAAGGATGTAAAACTTTTTTTTTTTTAATTTGTAAACTCAGTACATAGGATCGAATGTTAAAGGAACGTCCCCAAAAGGAGGTAAATACATTGAACCTCTGGAAAAACAATTGATCGCATGATTTTCTAGCCAATCAGTTTTCTGACATTCTGGGCTGCAGTATTGTGCTACAGTACACCGACTACAGTGTGGAAATTTCCAAGTTACTTTTGAAGGAGAATCAGTCTCTTTAAAACGTGGAAAACTCACATTTATGTTTGGTGGAATATTTGATACATCCTCATCTGGAATCTGAATATCTGACAAGAAAGGCTTGCCGGCTCTAGGGTAGCAACCACACCACCAGCATACTGATCGAATCTTTGGATCAATACCAGCAACTGACACTCCAAACTTGTCGTACATATATCTTATCATAGCAAAATAATAATTAAATGACTGCTCCCTATTTAAGCCTATGGCCAAAGCTTGATCAGGTTTGTAGTCATAAAAATCTATACGCTTTCTAGGGATAATACCGGCTGCCTTCATCGTGTCTGCTGCAGACTGCTGCTTTGGAATCGCCTCATATGCCTTCAGATGAGAAAAATCACACCTGTCATAACATTTTGGTGTGTTCTCGCACAGAAACATCAAGTTCTCCGCTGGAAAGTCTTTTATATATGTATTATCAATAATGTATCCATCAATATCAATCCACATGTGTGGTTGAAGTGAATTATGGGTATGCCTGATGCCACAAACTACAGAGTTCCACATGCTGGCAGCTTCCAAACATCGGCTAACTACAACAGTAACAAAGCCCGAATTGTTTGTGATCTCATCTTCCTTCTGCTGCTTCAGGCTAAACCTAAGAATCTCATTAATTGTTTTGCTTTTCTGCTGATTCTGTTCATTTTCTGGATATGCAAATGGTAGTACGTTCCAGTCTGTGCTCATAGATGGGGTGTTTCTGGTTGGTGGCCGTTCAGGGACGTCGCAGTCATGGAACAGCTTCATGGTCTCCACTTGGTAGGTCTGCTTCAGCTGCACTACTTGCTGGCACTGCTGAGCCACCCTGACTTTGGTTTTATATGTGGCCGTCATTTCCTTTGCCTTTTCTAATTGACAGAGAAATAAACAAATGCTAAATCTAAAGGTAGCAGAGGTTCTACTAAACGAATGCAACCTTGATGAACCAGCTGTTACACTGTTCTCTAAACAAAGTCTTTGCGCAACTTGTTGGCTAGATTCTACTCTATACAAAACCTATAATGAGATAGCTGTTGAATTCTTTATAATTTTGCTAAATCTGCTGCTAAATTCTTCAGCACACACTTTTAAGAACCGACTTGCTATATTTTACTCTATATACACTCTTTGTGGTCTTCTAAACAATCTTTGATAAAGTGGCAATCTTTTTTTCACTACACAATCTTTGATTGAAGTGGCAGGCTATTCTTCTCTATACAATCTTTGGTTGAAGTGGCAGGCTATTCTTCTCTAAACAATCTTTGATTGAAGTGGCACACGATTCTTCTCTATACAATCTTTGATTGAAGTGGCAGACTATTCTTCTCTATACAATCTTTGATTGAAGTGGCAGGCTATTCTTCTCTATACAATCTTTGGTTGAAGTGGCTGAGTGCTGAAATGACAACAATTTTTAAATCATTTATTAGTATATTACCATATCTAATCTATATAGTAGTACACAATTCTCATTGGAAATCGAACAAATCACAAGTACCATTTTTGTTTAAAATTACCTTGGTTTGTATTTTTGTTATGTGATCAATTAACTATGTCAGTACTATGGAACATGTTCATATGTTCATAGGTTCCTAATTAGAAGCACAATGAATGCAAGATGTGCAGATTTCACATTTTTCTTCACTACCCCCTTACACCCCTCAGGACTGAAAGAGTTAAAATTGACCTACGCCATCTTCCCAGTTATTTACATCCAAGTCGTGCCTCCATTGTTATTCTGCATCTTTGATGGATTCAGATATTCACAATAAGACTGTTTTCAAATACAGCAATTAACCCTGTGTGGGTTTTGTGGCTTCATTGTGGAGAAAACAAGAAAAGACCCACCGCCACCTCCAAGAAAGCATGTTGTAAGTCGACTAATTGGCGGCTTCCTTCAAAAAGAAAGGCCAGATCTTTAATTCCGCTGGTGTGTTGGGAAATGAACAGTTGGACAGACTGGCTGGCTCTGCACAACTTGGTGGAATACTGGTACATGATAAGGCAGACGTGGTTAGTGCCTTGTGAGAGAGAGTGTACAGTTTAGAGGAGCAGATGGATCATCACAGTCTGGTGAGATTGATGCAGCGGGGAGTGACGAGAGGTTATGGCAGATGCTCAAGGCTCAGAGGAAAGGCAAGACGGATGTTAAATCAGAATGCTACTGGCACCATTAGTGTCGGAACTCTTCGCTGGCTGCTGAAGATGGGGACAGAGTGCTTATGGGAATGCCCCGAGTGCTGTGATGTAGGTTCTTGAATCAAATCAATCAGAAGGGAGCTAGAAAGTGAAGTCAACCAGATGCACAGGATATGACACCTTGGTGTAAGCTGGTTAAAGGACCCTGCTTCATTGGGGGATAGAAGGCAGAAGAAAAAACTACTAAAGTTCCAGAAGCTGAGTGTTGCGTGCATATCTTTTTTAAATGAAAACACACCCTGACAGGGCCTCAGTTACATATAAAATGCGGACTTCCAGTGACTAATGCCACCGCTGAAGGTATCTCCCACGCTGCTATGGCTACAGCAGCTTTCGCATCTCCTGCAGCTTTGCATATGAGTCCCAGCCATCTAGTTTAGCCTCGCTCCGCGTGGCGTCACAGGAGACACTCTAGGCGGTGGCGGTAGTCGGCGGAAGTCCGCAATTTAAGTCGCCAGAAGCACGCAATTTACATGTGACTGAGGCCCTGTTTTTGGCCGCCATAATATGTGGCCGTTATTCGCAGGATAGCCGAATTTAGTCTCCTTTCCTATGCCCCAGTGGTTTCCAGTACAAAGACAAGTGGCTTTTCAATTCATTTTTCGGCTCTCCTTTGAACGGCATCATAAAATGGTGGCCATAATATGATGCCACATTCTGGCAATAAAATATCCAAAAACATCCGAACGGTGTTCAGGCCTATCTAAAATACAGACTTTCTGCCAAGGAACAAATCACGGCAAAACTAGGATTACTTGACAATTAATAACAACATTGCACACGGTAGCGGCAGACGATAAATACCAACCATTGTTAATTTCGAGAGTTTCTGCAGATAATATTAGCGACCGTTGACAATTTCTAGACATTACAGACGATGAAAGCGATTAGCAATACTATGTTCTTCCGATTGAGGATTTAGCAGCGGTAGATGTCAGACTTGTCGGCACCCGCAAAACGCGATTAACTCATCGCCGAGCGTATCCCCCGCGCCGCTACACGCGGATGGGGGCTAAAACTAGGTGCCTGGGACTCACGAGTAAAGTAATTGGAGGAAGTTGCAGGAGATGCGGTAGCTGCTGCTCGTGAGTCCCAGCCATCTAGTTTAGTCCCCATCCACGCCACGCATAGCGGTGGGGGGAATACAGTCGGCGGTGAGGCACACTCGCAGAAGCAGGTCCGCAAGTACCATATCACTGAGACCCTTTTAGAGCATTTGTTTCGTTATATGGAGCCGGCATATTTTTAACAGAACTGAGCCCTATTCGGATATTTTTGGGATATTTTATGGCCAGAATGTGGCCAATTAGGCTCTCCTTCGAACGTCATCATATTATGGCCGCCATTTTATGATGCTGTTCGAAGGAGAGCCCATTTTTCAAATAATTATTTCCTGATACTAAAAACGTTTTCCAAAAAATACTTACTAGTTGTGGCCACAGAAAACGTAGCGCATTCACAATTCACAATCGAAAACAGTGACAGTCCTGTCGACGACGATCTTTGACTTTGAGACTTTTTTAACTTTACAAAATCGTAGTTTCCGTTACTCGTTACTTTTTAATTTTAATGTAGCTAGCCAGTATAGCATTTATCAAGTATCTGCAACAGAACTTCTATTTATAAGTACCAAGTATGGTATTCAAGTAGGGAATAGTATAAGTAGATAATGAGCCGTTTTTTCATACACTGAAAAAAAAAAAAAAGCGCTCTCATGAAAAACAATAGCTACAAATACAACGCAAGCTCCCACAACAAACATCAACAGGATGCGGATTTCAAAACACTTTCGGAGTAGCGTCCCATTCCAATCTTTGAAAAATTGTAATTTGAGTTTTGCGCATAAATCAATTTATCTAAGGGTATCTTCTTCTTCCTTTCACCAGATGAAAACTCTTGCAGACAGTTCTGGTTGTTCGTCCACTTCTGGACTTCAGTCCTGTTCCAAAACTTGAGTGTTTCGTATGCATCCGTTTGACAGATCTGACTCATTTGTATGCAGACTGCTGGTTCCTTGCCTTTCAGGCAGATGCACTCCGACTTCGAAGGAAGCTCCCAATTTGTCGACTCTTACGACATGATTTAGAGTAGGCAATTGGGTCTATTATTGTTTTCCCTATAACAGGGTCCCGGAACATAGGCAGTATCTTATTCAAATCCTTTTGTTTAACACAGGGAATCTAAAAAGAACAATTTCTGGGCCAAATTTATGTTGCCGTTGTTAAACATGACCCTTTTTGTAAAAAAAAAAAAAGTGCAAAATCATAATTTCATAAATCAGTCAAGAACTGACTTTTCTGCACTCGGGACATTCCCACAAGTGCTCCGTCTCATTCTTTAATAGCCAAAAACTACCAATTACTGCCTTTATTATTCACTTTTGCGGTGTAGGCAGGGGATTTACAGCCGCATGGCTAGTGCTGCCGCCACGACTGTGCAGGTGAGGATTTTATTTTGCACCCGACAGAAAAAATTCCCAGCCTTACAGAGGATTCGTAACTGGGTCTCCCACTTGAGAACCCAGCGTGTTAACCGTTTGGCCAGCGGCTCCTCTTATGTTAATATGAAAAAGATATAAAAACCGAACGAAAGGTATATTAGCAAGCTTCACAATATAACAAATACAAACAAAACGTGAACGTTGCGGCTATTGAGCCTTCATCAGCACATACAAATGAAACAATACTACACAGAAACACAAAATCACTTAGCTGGTATCTCGGGGCAGCCGGGTCGGTTGTTTCTCGGCAGAATGACTACACGTGTCGGCTGAGCGAATAAACTTATGTTAATAGTACCAACTGCAAACTGACTAAAAGTCCACAAATGTTTTCTCTTCAGTGTTGGGTGTTTTCCAGACTTTACGCCCTCACCCCCACCCCCGCTGAATTAGGCTAATTGTAATTACAGAGACAATTTTTGTTTTAAGAATGTGGTAGTAACAACAACAACAACAACAAAAAGATAGACGATTAAAATTTGAAAACTGAAATTTAGGGTAATCTTACATCCCGTTTTACAAAGAGGTAGTCCCGTTTTTTTTAGGTATGTTCAAGACTTTCAGTCGGTGCTCCAAAATAACACCACTTGTCCCGGTTTATACAAATCTAGGAATAAGCTAGAAAACAGGACACACACTTACAATTACGCTACATCTGTAGACCTTAGGAGATATCCTAGTTTTACAATCTTTCAATACTTAGTATGTATTTGTGAGAATTTTAACAACATTGGCCTGATTCGTGACTCTGTGTATGAGATTGCAGCCCGGCAAATCATGATGATGATGATGATAATGGTCATTTCCAGTGCATTTAATCAGCATATTTATGTATGTCCTGGAATTATAAGTTTGATTTTTGATACAACTGTCCAACTGACTTTCTTGAGATGTCCTGACTTCAGCTCAAAATATTATGGCGAGAACCCATTTTGAAAGCAAAATATTCTGGTGATGTCCCGTTTTCAGCTCAAAATATTACGATGTCCCGTTTTTGGCTACACATATTTTGGTGATGTCCCGTTTTCAGCTCAAAATATTACGATGTCCCCGTTTTTGGCTACACATATTTTGGTGAGGTCCCGTTTTTAATTCAGCTGTAGCGATTGATATGACCAAAATATTTCAGCTTCTGAGAAAAGATGCTGTTTAATAA